CTGACAAAAGAATCTTTGAGCTTACAAATATATCAATAGAAACCTCCAAAACTAAAAAGAAAGGAAAGAGAGAAAGAGAGAGGGAGTGAGAACAAAGACTTAAAAAGACAGAATAGGATATCCAAGGACTGTGAACAACTTAAAAAAAAAAATGTGTAACATATGCATAAAGGAAATGCCAGAAGGAGAAGAAAGAGAGAAAGAAATGGAAAAATATTTGAAACAGTAGGACTGAAAATTTCCTCCAAATAAATGACATATATCAAAACACAGATCCAGGAAGCTCAGAGAGCACTAAGTAGGATAAATGCAAAAAACAAAACAAAACAAAACAAACAAACAAACAAAAAAACACCACCAACAACAACAAGCAAAAAATTGGACCAAGGCATATCACTTAAGATAGAAAATCAAAGATAAAGAAAAAAGTCCTAAAAGAAACCCAAGAAAAAAACACCTTACCTGTGGAGGAACAAAGATAAGAATTACATCCAACTTCTCCTCAGAAACCATGCAAACAAGAAGAAAGTGCAGAAAAATACTTGAAGTATTGAGAGACAAAAAGCACCAACCTAGAATTCTGTACCCTGTGAAATTATCCTTCAAAAGTGAAGGAAAAATAAAAACTTTCTCAGATAAACAAAAATTGAGGGAATCTGTTGCCGGTACACCTGCTTTTTAAGAAATATTAAATAAGACCTTTAAGAGAAGGAAAATAATATAAGTCACAAATTCGGTTTTTCATAAGGAAGGGAAGAGCTTCAAAGAGAATAAGTGAAAGTAAAAAACTTATTTTTTATTCTTAATTGATATAATAAACAACAGTTTGCTCAAAATAGTAATAGCAGCAATGTATTCAATGATGTATGCTTACATGTACACATGCTCATATACAAGTGAAATGAATGACAGCAATGATGTAAGGGAAAGGAGAGAGAAATCAGAATTATTTTGTTATCATACGTTACTCATACTATCCATGCACTGGCATAGTGTTTTTGAAAGTGGACGAGGATTAACTGTAAATTTATATTACAAACTCTAGGGCAACCATATAAAAAATTTTTTTCTGTTTTTTCTTTTTTTTTATTATGTTAATCACCATACATTACATCATTAGTTTTTGATGTAGCGTTCCATGATTCATTGTTTGCGTATAACACCCAGTGCTCCATGCAGAACGTGCCCTCTTTAATACCCATAAAAAAGAAGTATAATGGATATGCTAAGAAAGGAGAGAGAATAAAATAATATAAAATACTCCATTAAAATCACAAGTGGCAGACCAAAAAAAAGTGAAAGACAAAAATAGGAACATAAAACAATAGCAAATATGGTGGATATTAATCCAACTATATCAATAATCACTATGAATGTCAGTAGTTTAAATACATCAATTAAAACACAGAGATTGTCAGAATGAATCAAAATATAAGATCTAACTGTACGTTGTCTACAATAAACCCACTTTAAATTTTTTTTAAGTTTTATTTATTTAAGTAATCTCTACACCCAACATGGGGCTTCCCTAAGATCAAGTCGCATGCTCCTCTGACTGAGCCAGCCAGGCACCCCTAAACCCACTTTAAATATAAAGACATATAGACCAAAAGTAAATGGATGGAGAAAGATATACCCTACTAACACTAATCAAAAGAAAGCAGGAGTAGCTATATTAATTTCAAACAGAACAGACTTCAAGGAAAGTTATCAGAGATAGACAGGCATTACTACATTATAATAAAGGGATCAATGATCCAAGAAGACATAACAATCCTTAGTATGCAGGTGCATAATCACAGAGAATCAAATTATGTGAGGTAAAAGCTGATAGAACTACAGAGAAGAATAGATAAATCTATCCTCCTGCTTGGAGACTTCAATACCCCTCTATCAGGAATGGACAGTTCCAGAAGGCAGAAGGCAGAAGTCAGGATATCATTTAAGTCCACAGCACCTTCAACCAACTGGATGTAATTGACAATTATAGACTGCCTTTGTAAAAACAACAGAATACACATTCTTCTCAGGCTCACATGGAACATTCACCAAGATAGACCACATTCTGGACCACACAACACACCTTAACAAACTTAAAAGAATAGGGAATCACACAATTTCTGATCTTAAGCCACAATGGAATTAAACTAGAAATGAATAACAGAAAGATCACTGGAAAATTCCAAAGTACATGGAGTTTAAACATACTTCTGAATAACCTATGGCTCAAATGATAAAGTGGACCTCATCAAAATTAAAAACAATTGCTTTATAAAAGACCCTCTGAATAGAGTTTAAAGACAAGTTATAGACTGGGAAAAGTATGTGCAAACCTCCTAGCTGACAAAGGACTTATATCTAGACTGGATACATACTCTCAGACTCAACAGTTAATAAAACAAATAATCTAATTAGAAAATAGGCAAAAGGCAAGAACAAACACTTCACTAAAAAGAATATCCATATGGTAAACAGGCACATGAAAAGATATTTGACATCATTAGTCACTAGGAAAATGAACATTAAAGTATAAATAAGGTATTACTATATACCTAACAGAACGGCTAATATGAAAAATAGTGAACTTTGGTGACAACACTAAAGGCTGACAGAAATAGAGAAAATAGTTCACTCACACATTGTTGGTGGGAATCTAAAATGGTACAGCCAATCTGGAAAACAATTTGGCAGTATGGTATAAAACTAAACATACAATTATCATACCACCAGAAATTGCATTCTTGGACATGTATCCCAGACAAACAAAAACTTACTATCACACAAAAACGTAGCAGCTTTATTTGTAAAAGCCAAAACCTGAAAACCACCCAAATGTGCTTCAGGGGGTGAATGGTTAAACAAACCAGCGTGCATCCACATCCCAGAGTAACAGCATAAAAAGAATAAACTGTTGATATACACACAACTTGGACAAATCCCAAGGGAATTATGCTGAGTGAAAAGAGCCAATCCTAAAATATAACATACTGTATATTCCATTTCTGTAACATTCTTGCAACAACAACATTACAGGAATGGAGAACACATTAGTAGTTGCCATGGCTTAGGGAAGGGGCAAGGTGTGGAGGAGGGAGAATGTAATGGTGTGTCCATAGAAGGGCAACAGGAGGGACTTTGCAGTGATGGACTGTTCTGTGTCTTCAAAGTAGTGATGGATGCATAGACCTACACGTGTGAAACTGCATAGATTTAAATACACACACATGTAAAAATGAGGAAAGCCAAATAAACCGGATCGTAACAATGTCAGTTTCATGGTTTGCTATCTTTTCGTGCCATAGTTATGCAAGATGTTACCACAGTGGAAACCAGATGAAGCGTACATGGTACTCTACACATTTCTTGCAACTTCCTATATATGTATAATTATTTCAAAATAAGAATTTTAAACAAAAAAAGGCAGTTAGAATTCTTCATAGTTCTGTCTTTTACACATTTCCATAAACTCTTTTCAAATAATCTTTTCTACCATGAATTCAAATCCTGTCAAAATTCCCAAAGTCCAAAATCTGCATCCCAGCTCAGACTCGGGTCATGAGTTCCTGACCTTTACATTCACATGGACATCTACATTTGATGTCTCAAAAGTACTTCCAACTCAGTAAGTCAAAAAAGTAACCTGTCTCCTTCCCCAAATACCTCCTTGTCCAGTGTCCCTGATTTCCATAAATTGTACTACCATTCACCCAACCAGAAATCTGGATAACAGCCTTTACTTTTTCCTACCCCTCATTCCTCACATTCAACTGATCTCACTATTACCTCTGGTATCCTTTTCCTTTATTTCAGATTCATCCTAGTCCACTCTGTTGCCTGGAGAGTTGCAACAGTCTCTTAAATTTCTCTCCAGATCTTTCCCACCCATAACCCATATCTCTACCCAAAATCAGTCTCCCTACTAAAGTCATGTGAAGCTTTCTAAATCCTAAGTGTGGTAATATAACTCGGATATTTAAAACTCTTTAAAGGATTCCTATTACATCCAGGATCATTTCTAAAATTAAGGCTATTAGACCCTCTACTATGTGACTCTTAATCGACTTCCTTCCTCTGTGCTCCAGCCACACAGATGGTCTTTTAGTTAACATGTCACACCTCATGACCTTCACACTTACTGAAACGACCTGCACCTCTGTCTGAAACGACCTACCCACCCCCACCCCCCACCCCACTTAACTTGGTTAACTCCACTCAGTCTAATATAGGTTTAGGAAGCACTGATGTCCTTAAAAGACAGACATTTTTCTCATGTTGCACATATGGAAACTGAGGCTCAGAGAGGTTAGGGTATTTGTCCCAGGCCATATAACTGGGTAGAAGAGCATAATTGCCTAATTACAGAGCCATACCAACTTCATTAGGGCAAGTTACTTAATTACTCTGTCTTAGTTTCCTCACCAGAAAAAATGAGGACAATAATAATACTTATCTCACAAAGTTGTTAGAAGAATCAAATGAGTTAATATGAAGAGAGCAGTGTGTGTTATAAAAGCACTATATAGTTACGTGCTTTCATGGTGGCAGTGGTGATGGTGATTATTCTTATTATTGCACATTACATTTTAAAGCCCAAGAGCAAAATAAACCCTTTCCTTTTGACCCTTACAGCAGAACACCTGCTTTTTTGTTTTCTATGTCTTTAATACATTCCTATGCCCCCTTCCAGGCTCCTATCTCCATCCTCCCTTCTGGCACACCTCCACGTTTAAGTCCAAGAACTTTATAAGACATTGGGAGGAGGTTTGAGCCCACAACAGAAAGTTTTAGTTAGGGCCTACCAATGACTGAGCCTGTACAGAAAATGAGTAATGTATCACCCATTTCCCTAACTTTGACATCCTTCATCCACAGGCTCTCTCTCCCCAACACAGAGCCACAGCCTCACCCCCCCAACAGAGTCCTAATAAACTTGACAAAGAGTTACCTTCAGTCACTCACCAGTCACCATCAGCAAGGTTAATAGAATACAATTCATGTTGATGCCTGAATCCTGTGCTGAGGATAAGGATGTAGTGGAAATTAACAGGCACAGAGAAAGCACAGAATTTGTATCCTGCTTGGGGTTTCTGGACAGCAGAAGGTACAGGTGGAAGAACTGAGGATAAGGATTCTACAAAAGTCTGTCATCTAGCGGTATCTCCTTCCACTCTCTATCCTCGGTGTGAAAGCGGTTCACCAGTCACAGCCGCCCACCTGTCAGTAGGCACGGAGATCTTCTCAGTCTAACTGAAGCCTGCCCTATGGGAAGATGAGGTCCATGGGTCTGAACTTTATCTACCTCCTCTTAGGGAAAAGAATTCCAAAGCAGGAGTCAAGTAAACCTTCTGTGGAGTTAAAAGTCATCCCAAGTTCCTCCCCTAGCCTCTCAGTTCTTTTCACCAGTTCCTTCCCCACAATGTGTGACTAGCACCCCTCCCTCTACATGTCCTATTGACCCCCTTCCTTTCTGGGCTACTCTGATGAAGCAGAGCTGTGTCCCACCCTCCTGTGTGACACTGCCCCCTCCCTTTTATGCAGGGAGTGCCTAGCCCACCCATCCTCAGAACTGCTTCATGTACAGGGCCTGTCTCACAACTACAAATACCATTTGAACAAAAGTTCCCAACCAATACCAACATGAGTGGCTCTTGTCAGAGCTCCAAATCAGTTCTTACTACACTGCCCTCCTGTATGCAGTTCTCTCTCTCTCTCTCTCATTCTATCCTTTCTCTGTAGCTGCTTTTTTCAAATTGATTTTTGGTGGAAGAATATAACAAGAATATTACCTAAATAGAAAAGCAGTTAGATGACAGAATGAACCAATAATAGAATTAGAGTCTCTATAAACCTGATGGTTTGTGGAATGAAGCTAGAAGCAGATGTGTCTCCGTGTGTACAAGGAATCTGAAATAATACTAATAAAGAACTTAATAACGAAAAAATTACAAACATGAGGAAATGTTGAGGATCAAAAACACACACACACACACTCACACACATCCATCCATAGAATTCTAAAGCTGTTTTTTCAAACAGAAAAGAACAGCTTTAAGAATGATGTCCATATCAGATATCAGTATCCTAAAAGGGAACAACTGGAGCACCTGGATGGCTCAGTTGTTGAGTGGCCAACTCTTGATTTCGGCTCAGGTCATGATCTCAGGGTCGTAGGATGGAGCCCTGAGATGGGCTCCGTGCTCAGCAGGAGAGTCTGCTTAAGGATTCTCTCTCTCCCTCTGCCCCTCCCCCTGCTCTCTCTCTCTTTCTCTCAAATAAATCTCTTTTTTAAAAAAAAAGATTTTATTTATTTATTTGAAAGAGAGAGAGCACAGAAGGAGAGGGAGAGAGAGCACAGAGGGAGAGGGAGAAGCAGACTGCCTGCTGAGCAGGGAGCCCGACATGGGGCTCAATCCCAGGAGCCTGAGATCATGACCTGAGCTGAAGGCAGCTGCTTAACTGACTGAGCCACCCAGGCACCCTTCAAATAAATAAATCTTTAAGAAAAAAAGGAAAAAATAAATGGGATTGGCAAACTACAGGAATCACTCAAAAGCTAAGGTAATATAAAAAGGTATTAGTATTAAAACAAGAAACCCCACACTTGAAAGTAGTTTGCTAGGCCTGAAAAAAAGTGTGTGGGGCAGGGTGGGGGGGGGGGGAAGAAGTTGAGGAGAGAGGGTTATGAGGACAAGATGGGATGAGGATCAACGGAGGCCCCTAAAGCATGCTAGGGGTTTACTCTACAGGCAATTGGGAACTACTGAAGAGTTTTTAAAAGGACACTGAAATGATTTCATAAGCATTTTAGAAGGAAAAATAACAATTCTAAATAAAAAGGAGAATGTCAAGTTGAGCAACACCAGATGGGCACATATATGAGTTCAAGCATGACAAGATTATGGCCTGGATTAGGATGACAGCAGTGAGAATGGAAAGATAAGGATGGATTTAAGACAGTTCTGGAAGTAGGATGGTTTGAGGTTGAGTGGTGAGAAAAAGAGAGAAATCAAACAAGTGGTAGGTAGAGTTATCTCCTAAAATAAGAAAAACAGGCAAAAGAATGCATTTGAAAAGCTGGAGGAAGAAAGAGTAAAATTCTGACATGCTAAATTTCAGGAACCTAAAGCAGATGCAAAAAAATGGTTTCTAGGAGGGGGTGCCCGGGTGGCTCAGGATCAAGCATCTGCCTTCCACTCAGGCCTGGGATCGAGCCCCGCATCGGGTTCCCTTCTCAGTGGGAAGCTTCTCCCTGTCCCACTCCCCCTGCCTGTGTTCTCGCTCTCTGTCAAATAAATAAATAAAATCTTTATTTAAAAAATGGTGTCTAGGAGGCAGTTGTATATGTGGGACAGGAGGTCTGGGCTGGAGATACTAATTTGAAACCCATAGACAGGTAGTAGTCCCCAGTACCAGCCTCCTCCAGAAAATCTGTTGTCTTTGGAAAGGCCTCAAACTCCCCTCCTGGTCCATAAGCTTTTCAAAGAAATCTAGGCCCAACAACCTCAGAGTAAAGAATATCTCTCTCTCAAGTTTCACCTCTGTTAACTAATCCTACCCTCACCACAGAAAACCTTCCACAGCTCCATCCTGTCTTTGAACCTCAAACACACTTTGTAAGCCAGCCCTACTCCCCAGTGGACCTCTGTGTTGACTGCGAGGGACAGGAAAGTATGCACCATGTCTCTTTTTCTTTTCACACTTCAGGGAATTTGTGTGAGGAAATGTATTTTTGCAAGATCTAGGAATGCCAGTTGATCAGCTGAAGCCTGGAGCACATGGTTGAAAAGCTATGTGTCTCCAATAATAAGACCTAGATTCTATTTCTAGTCTCCCCAATCATGTGTGTTTTTGAAACACTGATGTAAATTCTGTTTCAGTTCTATTATCTACAGATCAATGAAAAAATGATACCAGCCTTGTCTCCTCTTTGTAGGCTTGTTGTTCCATTGGAATGAGATTATGGGCTTAAGAGACTTTGAAGGGCAAGAGTGATACAAAGTATAATTAATTTTACATTTCAACTGATCCGATATAAAATCACCACTGGCAGCATCTATAAAGAATTTAGCTCAGTGCCTGGGATTTGGTTAAGTGCTATTAGTGAAAGTGTTCTTGTTAGAGTATGCTCTGAATTATCCAAGGATGACCCTAGCAGTTTATTATTGGCTGAGAAATCTTTTCATTAGGTAAAAAGCCCTGACAGGTCCTGCCTTCTAAATTGTCACCAATACACAGTAGGTCCTAAATTTAATATAACCTAGAATATAGACCATTCTCCAACTGTCAAAATAACTGTTCTATGAGTGCTTTTCATTTCCATGTGTCCTTAGCTCAAAGCTGGTGATCAGGACAACAGAACAAGTTGGTGATGATGGCTCAATGATGAAACAAACAGTGATCACAGGGAAAGATGAAGGAAGTGTAATAAAGATGGGAGGGGCTAAGGAAAAGGATAAGTATGAGGGGGTTCAGAGCAAACCCGGGGACCCCACTTGAGCTAAGGTGGCGAGTCTTATTCCCCACAGCCCTGGCCTCAGAAACCCTATATGGAAGATAAGTCCTGAGCCTAGAGCTCCCTTTCCCACAGATAGCTGATTGAGGCAGATGGGCTTTTAGGGACAGCAGGTAGAGGGACCTGGACCTGGAAGTCTAAGAAACTAGGCTTTTTTTCCTTCCCTGAAAGACCCAAGAGAGGCACAATCTATCTTCCCTGGAGCAGAAGGGCCTTCATCTGTCTTCCTGGAGCCCTCTTCCTCCCCCCTGTTTTTGCCCAGAGCTGTTTTCCAATCCCATTTCATGTCCCCATACCTAACCATATCCACTGATTCTACCAGGCGTTCCCGAGGAGAACACTGTCCTGAGAGTTTCATACTCTGCTGATCTTCTGCATCTCGCAGGGAAAAATCTGGACTGCTATGAAATTTATCTTCTATTTGGGTATCCTTGCTGGTATGTATCCATGACCTTCTACTCTGTCCTATAAGGCACAGGTTAATGTAGGCTGGAGTAAGGCAGACTGGGGTGTGCAGAGGGTACAAAAGAAGAGCCTAAGAAAACCAGTCATGGACAGAACTAGGTATCTCCCCTCCTAGACCCCACACAAAGGCTCTCAGGAGGCTGAGCCCACTCTTCCAGTGCTAAGCTACTGAGCAGGTGATGGTGCTCACTTGCCTTGGAGAATGCTCGACAATGAGTGTTCCCTGTGGTGATTCCAAAATGTGGGCCTCACCCACAGAGCAGGTCCCAGTGGAGTCACAGGGACAGAGAACTCATTTTGAAGTCTGATATCCCCCCTGTTTCAAAAGTTAAGAGACTCTGAATGCAGGGAATGAGGAAGGTAGAAATAAGATCAAACACAAGGACCTCCCTCCCTCACTCCCTGACTTCCAGGAAGTCCTTCTGATGGCAGAATGTGCTGGTGAGGCATTTCCCACCACTTCCTGACTGCCTGTGTTGCATCACTATTAGCTGTGTGGGCTTGGACAAATTAATTAAGCCATCTGTGCCTCAGTTTCTTTTGTCAAAATGGGGATATTACTCCCTATATTATAGAGATGTTGTGAAAATGTTAAATAAACCCATGGAAAGCACTTAGAACAAGAGCTCAGTGCCTCTTGTCCTTACTAATAGGCCACTTTTTTCCCCTTGGGATTGCTGTGTGATCATAAAAGGGTGTGGGGAGGTATAGGCCAGGGCTCGGGAAGGACTAATGGAAGAACCAAAGACAGCCGAGGCAAGAACAGTACTTTATTTCTGACACTACAAGCAGCCTTCCTCCCTATCTTCTCACGTGTTTTTTTTTAATAATTCACTACATGTTCATATTAAAAATTCGGAAATATTAAAAAGTAGGAAAAAAGAAACATTGTTCATAATCCCACCTCTCAGTCAACACATGCTAACACTTTAAATTTACTCCCAGGCTTTATTTTATTCACTTTTGCATTTAAATGGTTTATTTTTTCCTTTGCTTGTTTTTAGACAATTGGATTACTGGATTAATGTATATATTTATTATTATTATTAACTTAATGAATGTTTATCAGTATTTCCTTTGTTGTTTAATATTCTTTATAAATATAATTTTAATATATGTGATGTTCCCTATGTTGATGTACTTTTTCATTTCAGTGCCCTACATTACTATACTGGACATTTATATTTTTAATGTTTAGCTATTATAAATAGTGCTAAAATGAGCACACATTCATAATTTTTGTCTACATTTAAATATTTCTTTAGAATGGATTCTTGGGGTTGGAATTATTAGGTCATAGGTGATGCACTATTTACACTCTTGATGCCTATTTCTAAATGTTTTTCAAACAGACAGAATTAATTCATGTCCCTACATGCAGTGAAAGAGAGTCTCTTCCATTGTACTTTCTTAGATTTTAATAGTATCAACATTAAACCAAAAAGTATTATTATAAATATTAGATAAAATGCTATGTCATTCTTATTAGAAAAAGAGGGTCAAACATTTTCACATTTCCTGGCCAGTCGATTACTTCTTTAAAATTGCTCATATTCCTTTTCAACTAGGAAACTGCTGATTGTCTTATTTGTCTTAAGACATGTCTTACCTACTATTAAGAATGTTCTATATATTAAGAATACTGATTATTTTCCCAGGGACACTTTTCTCTGCTCACTCGTCTGTGCAGAAAGAAGACCATGCTCCCTATCTGGTATACCTCAAGTCTCACTTCAACCCCTGCGTGGGTGTCCTCATCAAAAACAACTGGGTGCTAGCCCCAGCTCACTGCTACTTACCGTGAGTGCTGGGAACCCTCCCCCCCACCCCCGGAAGCAGCTGTGATTCATTCTACATCAGTGGTTCTCAAATGGAGGCAACTTTCCCTTTCAGGGTACATGTGGCTAAGTCTGAAGATAGTTTCAGTTTGTCACAATGCACTGAGGGGGTGCTGTGCTCTTGGCATCTATCTAACAAATAGAGGCCACAGCGAGAAGGCCACTGAACATCCTACAGTGCGCAGGCCAGCCCCCACAACAATCACCCAGCTCCAAATGTCAGTAGGGAGGAAACCCGCTCCACAGAGCATGCCTCCTCAGTTCTTTCAAGTTTTTTACTGACAGTATGAATGTGTCTTATCACTTAAGGGACCAGCAGGTAACTGAGGGTGCATTCGAATTGGACAAACCGAGAATAGTTCAGTGCCCCCAGGATTAGTATTGGAAAGGTACAGTTACTACCCCTAGGCCTAAGGGGGCAAGAGGAGAGAATGGTTACAAGAAGGGGAGTGTGGAAGGGTGGGGAGGAGAGAGAGAGAGGAAGGGAGGAAGCACTGTGTGGAGGGATGGCCTGATAGGAAGCCTGGTGTGGCAACCCTGTGGGAAGGTAACTGGGAGGATAAATACTCCAACCTCATTCTCCCTCCTATTACTGCCTGGTGCTTGCTATCAACAAAACCTAATCAGAGAACAGAGGACAGGAGAATCCATTGATTTAATCTACATATATCACCTCCCAAAGGTAGAGAGCAGGATGAAGTAGGGTTGTGAGTGGATCTGATGAAGTAAACAGAGCTCCAACACTCCGGTCATCCCATTCTTTTACATCCACCAGAATGCAAATGCCCAGTTGGATAGGCTGGAGCTGGAGCGGAGGGAAAGTAATATTTCTATGCCACGCACAATTGTCCTCTCTACTACATTAAGGATACTACATGAAAACACAGTGGTTAAAAGCTCCCCCTTTACCGTGTGACTGTGGGTGAATTACTACTATGTGCCTCCATTACTTCACCTGTAAAATGGATTAAAAATAGAATCTACTTCATAGTTTTGTGGTGAGTAGTGAATGAGGTAATCCAGACTCCAGATAAAGCAACTGGCACAGTACCTGACACATTGTAACATTCAATATCATCTTTGACGACACAATGATAATGATGACAATGATCATGATGATGATGGTGATGGTGACAGTGATTACTTCCAACCCCTTCTCCCTCCAGAAACCTGAAAGTGATGCTGGGAAATTTCAGGATCAGAGTCAGAGATGGCACAGAGCAGGCAATTAACCCCATCAAGATTATCCGCTACTGGAACTTTAGCCATAGCAACCCCCAGGATGACCTCATGCTCATTAAGCTGGAGAAACCTGCCAGACTCAATAACAAAGTCCAGCCCCTTCCCCTCGCCACCAGCAACGTCCGGCCAGGCACCGTCTGTCTACTCTCAGGTTTGGACTGGAGCCAAGACAACAACGGTGAGTGTACCCCCCACAGCAAATCAGTGGAGGAGCACCATGTCCACATAGCTGAGAAGAGAGGAGAGGAGAATGGGCAGAGACCACGAGTGGTCTAGCAAGAAGAGACCCACCCACAAGTCCAAAGCTCCTCCCTTCCCAGGAAGTTGACACACCACTACCTCCTTGAGGCTTCAGCTGCAGGAGTCACCAGGCCATCTGACTCTGAACAGAGGCCACACTGTTCCTGTCAGAGGCAGGATTCCCATTGAAGAGGCTGTGCTCCTCCCTTGCATATGGCTCATTTTGCATGTAGAAGAACCTCAGAGAACCTGAGTCAGGTCACCTCTTATTCCTCCAAGACTGGACACAGAGTAGAAAGGAAACTCTGTTTCTTAAAGAGACATAAAGGCTATTTTTAAATCCTCTAGATTAACTCTCATAGCGATGCACAAGATCATTCCCTTTTCTCATTCCTTTTCTCTTCAGACATACACCAGTGGAAATAGAGGGTAGTGGTTGGAGGGGCTACTTAACAATGGCGAACAGGAAGGCTTCTTCTATCCTGTCTTCCCTCAGGCAGACACCCTGATTTAAGGCAGAACCTGGAGGCCCCTGTGATGTCTGATAAAGAGTGTCAGAAAACCCAACAAGGAAAAAGCCACCGGAACTCCTTATGTGTTAAATTTGTGAAAGTCTTCAGCCGAATTTTTGGGGTAATCTTTTTCTCTATATTCAGTTTTCATTTGCTTGTATGTGTCTAGTTAACCAATCATGACAGTAAAAAAAAAAAAAATTAGAACACCCTCATCCTCTCACAATTTTTTTGAGTATTTGATAAGTCTGCAGCAAAGCCCCCATTGTCCTTCAGTAATGGGCCCTCCTTACAGATGTCCTTATTCATTAAAGCGTGTCATGCAGCACCTCCACTTTGCTAGATTTATTATTTATTCTTATAGCTGCAGGTCAAAATGGGCTTAAAAAAATTCAAACTTCACAATGGAAACTGGCTTCACCAGTCCAGATAAAAATGGGGTTTGACTCATTTTACATGTGAGTTCTAGAGAGGTTTTTCTCTGACTTTCTCAAGATGAAACAAGGCTAGAACTCATCTAGATCCAAAGCTAGCCAGCTTCCTGTCTCCTGATCCAGTGCTCTTTTCATGACCCAGCATGCTACCCCTGGGCAGAGCTCATCCATGTTGGGGACAAGAGGGCTCCTGTGACAAGATCTGATCATCTCTCTCTCTGTCTCCCTCTCTCTGCATGATCTCTGGTAGGAGGTGGCCGTCGCTACCGTGATCTGCAAAAACAAGCTCCAGGGGATCGAGGTTGGACACTTCATGGGAGGAGATGTCGGAATCTACACCAATGTTCACAAATATATACCCTGGATTGAAAGCATCACTAAAGAAAAATGACACCTTACTACTCCCTCTGCATCCCACTGGCTTTGTCATTGACTCTACAAGCCACTACTTTCTCCAAACTCAAAATAAAATTTCCAAATGGAAATGCATTACACCAGTAGCCTATGTTTTCTTGGTTGTGTCTCTGCCCATATCCCACCATGATGTGAAGAACCAAGAACAAAACATGAAATGAGCACTTATCACACTGTACTAGGATTACATCCATTATCTCATTTAATGCTCATAACAAATCCTTGAGGTTATCTTTCATTCCCACCTTACAAATGAGAAAGTTGACAATAAAAAGAGTACTTAACATTATCTAAAGCTGATAGACATCACAGCCTGGAATGGAACCCCCAAATTCAGATTCTCAATCCCATGCTCTTAGCCTCAAAATTATAGGGGGGTCCATGGCATCAAGACAGCTAGTAAATGGGTAAGAAGTAAGAGAACTTTAGGACAGGGTCAACTGACATAAATCAAAGGAAGCCTGGCAGCTCCAGAACAAGGTGAAAAACTCATCTAGATCCAAAGAGAGTATAACCTCAGGGCAGTAGAAGATTCCAGAGGCAGATATGGCTGAGAGGAGGTGAAGGAAGGGCAAAAATTGGGCTTAGCCACAGACCATGGGATTAACAAAGTCAAGAAAGTGGGCACCAGTCCTCCGGTTGAGAACTTGGTATAGAACTTGAGAACTGAGAACTCCAGGTGTCTCAAATCTGGAAATGATAGAGAAATTCTGTATATCCAAGACATTGGGGAATACAGGACAAGGATGGGTAAAGTAATCTCCTAGCAGACATAGACTGAGGAAAGAACCACACACTATCGTTGGACAATATTTTCTATTTCCTAAGTTTAAAATACAATCTATACTTTAGAGACTTTTGTGTTAGGGAGAATAATGGCTCCCTAAAAATGTCCACACCCTAGTCCCCAGAACCCATTAATATGTTATTTTACATGAAAAAGGCAGCTTTGCAGTTGTGACTATGTTTATGCATCTTGGGATGGGAAAATTATCCTGGATTATGTGGGTGGGACCAATGTAATCACCTGGGCCCTTAAAAGTAGAAGAGGAAGACAATATTTGGCCAGAGAGACGTGACAACAGAAGAGGTAGTAGAGATTCAAAGAATGAGAAGGACCTGACCAGCTACTGCAGGTTTTGAAGATGGAAGAAGGGGATTACAGGGCAAGAAATATGAGTAGTCTCTAGAAACTGAGAATGAAACTCAGCTTCCGACTAGCAAAGAACTGGGAACTTTAGTGCTATAATTGCAAGGAACTGAATTCCGACAACAACCAAAATGGGCAAGGAAACGGATTTTCCCCAATAAGAAACACAACCTGGACAACACCTTGATTTTAGCCCATTGAAATTTGTCAAACTTCTGACCTATGGTACTGTTAACATAATAAATTTGCATCAGTTTAAGGCATTTGTGGTAATTTATTACAGCAGCCATAGAAAACTAACACAACTTTCAAAACACATTCCCTAAAAGAACTGCTTTCCATAATGTTTGTCAATTGACCTGAAAATAAACTCTAAACTCATCAAAATGGCATCCAAACCTCCTAGAGACCTCTCACCCTGAAAGTGATGCACCTCCCATCCCTGAAAGGGATGGGGTGGCTGGGTGATGGACATTGGGGAGGGTAGGTGCTATGGTGAGCGCTGTGAATTGTGTAAGACTGATGAATCACAGACCTGTACCTCTGAAACAAATAATACATTATATGTTTTTAAAAAAAGAAGATAGTAGGAAGGGTAAAATGAAGGGGGGGAAATTGGAGGGGGAGACAAACCATGAGAGACTATGGACTCTGAGAAACAAACTGGGGTTTTAGAGGGGAGGGAGGTGGGGGGATGGGTTAGCCCATTGATGGGTATTAAGGAGGGCACGTATTGCATGGAGCACTGGGTGTTATACGCGAACAATGAGTCATGGAACACTACATCAAAAACTAATGATGTAATGTATGGTGACTAACATAACATAATAAAATAAAAAAAAACTTAAAAAAAAACTCAACACCCAAAAAACAAATAATCCAATTAAAAAATGGGCAGAAGACATGAACAGACATTTCTCCGAAGACATCCAGATGGCCAACAGATACATGAAAAGATGCTCAACATCACTCATCATCAGGGATATGCAAATCAAAATTACCATGAGATATCACCTCACACCTGACAGAATGGCTAAAATCAAAAACACAAGAAACAAAAAGTGTTGGCGAGGATGTAGAGAAAAAGGAACCCTCATGCACTGTTGGTGGGAATGCAAACTGGTGCAGCCACTATGGAAAACAGTATGGAGGTTCCTCAAAAAACTAAAGATTGAATTACCATATGACCCAGTAATTCCACTACTAGGTATTAACCCCCCAAAAATACAAAAACACTAATTCAAGGGTACACATGCACCCCCATGTTTATTGCAGCATTATTTACAAGAGCCAAACTATGGAAGCAGCCTGAGTGTCCATCAATATATGAATGGATAAAGAAGATGTAGTATATATATACAACGGAATATTATTCAGCCATAAAAAATGAAATCTTGCCATTTGCAACAACATAGCTGGATCTACAGAGTATAATGCTAAGTGAAATAAATCAGAGAAAGACAAATACCATACGATTTCATTCATATGTGGAATTTAAGAAACAAAACAGATGAGCAAAGGGAAAAAGAGAGAGAGAGACAAACCAAGACAAACCAATAGACTCTTATCTATAGAGAACAAACTGATGGTTACCAGAGGGGAAGTGGGGGGGGGGGGGATGGGTGAAATAGGTGATGGCGATTAAAGAGAACACTTACCATGATGAAAACATAAAATAATAAAAATTTAAAATTGATACACACACACACACACACACATATATATACACACACATCTCACCTAAATTTCAGGGTTAAAAGCCCACTATCTATCTACATGATATAATGACATTTATTTCACCTAAGGAAACTAAGCACCTATAAGATTTTTATACCTCCACCCATAAAATACTATTATATTATACAACATTAATATTATTATATTATAAAATATTAATTATATATACATATACATAGGCACATGTACACACACACACACGCGTGTGTGTGTCTATATATGTATATATTAGCAGCCTGGGGTGGGTTTTTCAGGCCGGACATACAGTGCTTCGGACACCCTTTTGAATATTTTCTTCTTTTTTTTTAAAAGATTTTATTTATTTATTTGAGAGAGAGAGAGCATGAGCACGGGAGTGTGTGAGGGAGAAGGAGAAGCAGACTTCCTGCTGAGCACGGAGCCAATGCAGGGCTTGATCCCAGGACCCAGAGGTCATGACCTGAGCCAAAGGCAGACGCTTAACTGACTGAGCCACCCAGGTGCCCCTTGAATATTTTCTTCTTGTCTTAGAAGATAAAGCTTTATAATTGGGCATGATCCTACACTGTCCCAGTCTTTCCACCCACCTTGTGATACAGTTAAAAAAAAAAACTGGATTTTAGAATCAGAAGACAAATTAGAGCCTTGGATCCACCTTTTCCTAGTTTATGAGTCTTTTATATCTGTTTGTACCTCAATTTTTTCATCTGTATGATGGGTAATACCAACATTTTCTATGAAGTTGTGAGGAACCAATAAAACTGCATGTGAAAATGTAGCTCAGACAATATTGGGCTTTAGCAGGAAGGGAAAAATGAAGGGGGGGAATCGGAGGGGGAGAGGAACCAGGAGAGACTATGGACTCCGAGAAACAAACTGACAGTTTTAGAGGGGAGGGGGAGGGGGGATGGGTTAGCCCAGTGATGGGTATTAAGGAGGGCACATATTGCATGGAGCACTGGGTGCTATACGCAAACAATGAATCATGGATCACTACATCAAAAACTAACGATGTAATGGATGGTAACATAACATAATAAAATAAAATAAAATATTTAAAAATTTTTAAAAATTAAAAAATAAAGTTAAATGGCAATGTGCTCGAGCTATAGCTACCACACTGTTTCATACACAGACATTGCCCTGGCACCCACCCTTCATTTCAGAGAGTTCCTCTTCTTAACAAAGAGTTTTAAACATCCCTCCCTTTCCTGGATAGGCAGAGAATACAGGGAGGTGCAGGATAGTGCTTATTAGAGAGCCTATAAGTAATCATATCTTGAAGAAATAAACTCTAAAAGTTTAAATTCTTGGTTAATAAGTATTTAGTGGCAGAGCATATTGGAAGCAGCAAAACTCCAAACCCACAACATTGCTAAAAACTCTGCCCAAAGAGGACTATGGGCAAGTGCCCAAACAAAGGAATATGGTATAGCGTAAGTTTGTTGAGTAAGGCAATAGAGACACAAAACTACAGTGTCTGAAAGAATGGAGATGTTTATTTCCCATGAACAGTCCTGCAGTTAAGGTGTAAACAGTTCAGAGCTGGTGTGGCAGCACCACGGTGTCAGGAACTGTGAAGCCAACTAGGATGGATGATTTCTCCACTATCCCCAGGCAGGCACTTCATCTGCTAGTCCAAGATGGCCAATCATTCATCACACCCGGCATTCCAGAGCACAGGAAGAAGAGGGAAAAGGGGAAGGGAGGGCACACCTGTTCTAGGGGCACTACCTAGAAATTGTACACATCACTTCTCATACTCCATTGGCAGAACTTGATCACGTGGGACACCTACTTATAAGAGAAAGCTGTAAAATGTAATTCACTGCCAAAATTCTAGGTAGCTAAAAATTCTATTACTATGGAAGAGAAAGGAAAGAGAACAGATCCAGAGGGACCATGAGGCTTTCTGCTACTTGTTTAGAGTTCTTATGTCATGGTGCACATTTAACCGTCCTCACTAATCCTTCTTTCTCATAATCTTAAGATCCTAACATGATAAAAACCTTTTTTTTTTAGCATAAAATATTGACTTGGGTAATCCTTACTGAATAATGAATGCAGTCAAGATTCTGGTGTCCAGAATGGGAAAAATCAGGTAATTTGTAAAACTTGGAGATTTCTCATTTTTTTCTATTTTAATAAAGAGATTGTTATTTTAATAAGATTATTTACTTTGAGATGTGTAAATGTTACATAAGTATTTTATAAATACAAAAACTGTATAAATATAAATTATTATCTCCAATTCCCATTCAAAAACTAATCAATATTCCATCTTCAGATTTCTGTTCCTGCTGTCTCACCTCCCCTTCCCTCAAAAAAAAGTGTTCACCTGAAGAACTGTGCAGTGCCCATACAACTTAGTACATAAATTCATAAGCAGATGACATATATTCACCAAAAGTCTGATGCTCCCACTTCCAAGCTACTGGACTGGTAAACTCTTGGCTTTCCCCTGAATTCCATATCACATGACAGGGTACAATCTTTTGTAAGGTTGTGTTCAGATTGTGTTAATTTCACTATTTGGCACTTGCCTTTTTTTTTTTTTTAAGACTTTATTTATTTGAGAGAGAGCAAGACAGAGAGCATGCACAGAGGGAAAGCAAGAGGGAGTAGCACTCTTCTGAACACAGAGCCTGATGTGGGGCTCAATCCCAGGACCCTGAGATCATGTCCTGAGCTAAAGGCAGATGCTTAACCAACTGAGCTACCCAGGTGCCCCACACACTTGCTTTTGACCTCAGGCTAGCTCCCTGGATTTTGAGATCCTTGGAACTCTCCTGGATTGGGCTTCTGTTAAACTAATCACTTCCTTCTACCCATTAACCTGGCCCTTCCCTTCTTTCCAGAACAAACCTAGAAATTTAGTCCTAGAGTTTCTTGATAATAATAGCTCAGTGACTGTGACCCAGCAAGGTGAGGGTTCTTTTTCTGTACATCTGCCACAATATATACCTGTTCCCTTTCATTCTTTCTCTTTCTTCCCTTTTCTAAAACTTTTTCTTTTCTTCCATTGCTCTTTGCATCCTCTTACTATGTTTTAAGCCAGTCAACTGCCTGCTGATGACGATTCACCCATTGCTAAGCCCTTACCCAGGGCTCCTCAGCTAAACCTCAAAAATTTAACTAATGATGTGAACTATAATGTATTGCTTAATTTGGGGGAACTCCCCCTTATACTTCAGTAGCCCACGGAACAACGTGGTGACTTCCACTAGCCAGGGATGCAACACCCATGCAAACTACATGATAAGTAATGTCTTAAACAAGTTCTTTAGGGAAAAAAATGCCTAATATTTTAAATTTTTTTAATTGCAGAATAAACTGAAATATAGACACTCAAAGGCCGAGGAGGTCAGATCAGCAATTACAAAAATGAATTCCATAGACCGCTAGGAAAACTGCTAACAGAGAAAACCCTGCTCCCAAACCATGAGGTGACTCCAGCCACTATTTACTATTGAAATTCTACTACTTGTTGAAACAAAGAATCTCCTTTGCTTTTGTTTTCAGTTTAGGATGTATGAGAATAATGAGAACAGAATGTCCTGGAGGGTAAATGGTGGAAATAACCATGCAGATGGATCTGGCTCCCAAATCCATCCCAACAAAAGGGAAATAATGTAGCAGAGTAGCAACTGAATAGGAATATACAGGATGAGGAAATAGATCAGGAGCTTCATAGCACCCACATGAGCTTCAGTCTGGGGATTCCAAAAAATAGTGGCATTTTTCTGCATCTTCTGTATATGTGTCCTCAAGGAATGTATTAACAAGGAAGCAGAAGTCACATTAATGAAGAACTGGAGAAATGAGCACAAGACCAAAGAGATCACCAAAGACAAGACGCTCTTATTGATGTCACATCCTGTACCATTTCTCCCAGGCACAAATTCAGGAAAGCATGATGTCTGTCTGAGCACAACATACGGGAGAGTGGTGAAGGCAGAAATCAGCCCACAGGCTAGCAGCAGCCTGGGGATCTTTGGGGAAAGATTTCATTTCAGCAGGAGAAATACTGCGTGTTGGAAGTCCATAATCTTGATGCAGTACAAGGCATTGAGCAAGGTGACAAGCCAGAGACTAATTTAGGTCCAAAAACATCCAACACAACAGGAAAAAAGTAGATAAGTGCACTGACCTTTCCACATTTGGAGAGATAAAGAAGTAGATGATGTTGAGTAGAAACAGTCCCAGCATAAGAAACCTGGTGATGCCCAAGCTGAAGAGGATCCTATTAGAAGAGGAGATTCTGGGGCTTTTGAGCCAAGTCTGATAATTGGCCACTGCGATAAACAGATTCACAATGAGTCCTGCAAAATTCAAAACTGCTGAGACAATAATGGCAGAGAAAAAGAATATCTGAAGCATCTTTCCTCACTAAGAACTTCTTTTTTTTTTTTTTTTTAAGATTTTATTTATTCATTTGACAGAGAAAGACACAGCGAGAGAGGGAACACAAACGGGGAGTGGGAAAGGGAGAAGCAGACTCCCTGTCGAGCAGGGAGCCCGATGCGGGACTCGATCCAGGGACTCCAGGATCATGACCTGAGCCGAAGGCAGTCGCTTAACCAACTGAGCCACCCAGGCGCCCCCTCACTAAGAACTTTGCAGCCATGGTTCGGACACTGGTAACAGGAGAAATACTGAGATGCGCAAGTAGGTGCCAGGACCCAGCCAGGAAGGACATTCCTTTTCTAATTGTCTCCAGTGTGGCAAATGAGCCATTAATGGTCTAAAAGCCAGCTGCTTTTCCTGAGATGCAAATCTTCCCAGGATTGCATTACTATTTCTTCATTCATATCCTGTTTTCCTTAGAAATGCCTTATTAAAATGGCCCCAGTGAACCTGGGAGTCCCCTCTGCCAAGAGAAGGACAGCTGGAGGGAAGAGTTATAGAATGCTCCATAGGACTTCAAATCCTAGTGACAGAACTCCAGTCCAGCAATGTCTCTGTCCCTGTTTCACAGGGAATGAAGCTTTTCTTTTCACACCAGAAGATGGTGGGAATTCCCAGGCTTCACTCCTACCCACCCACCCTCATCCACACATCCCTAGATTACTGAAATCCAGCTTCTCTCTCCCCTGTAACCTGTTGATATGTTGCAGCCCTATTTTCTCCATCTCTCATCTGGCCTTGCCAATGTTACTCTTTCATCCCTGAGCACAGTGATTCACAGTTGCAAACAGACCAAGTTCAAGGACTTCACACTTCCTCAAGAAAGCCTTTTCTCAATTAATTCCATCTATCAGGATGATTCCTTTACTTTGCATTCCCTCACCAGACACATACATTTGTGCTATAATCATTTGCTGTGATATGCTTTGCTTGGAAAAAATATCAGCCTCAGTGTCCTTGTCTCTTCAGGCTTCCAGGGAGAGGTCCTTGTTCCTTGGTTGCTGCTTGCCCCGCCTATATTCAGGGCTGAGTCGGTGCCTGTGTTTTGCTCCCACTGACCACAACCTGGGAGCTTTTAAGCAGTCCTCAAAGAGAGGGGAAATCTAGACTCTCACCTGCCCTCCCTGTAATCCCTTTTCGGTCTCCCTCTTCCCCCTCCCACCATCCCCTGGGGACCAGAAGGAGCAGGCTTTCGCTTAGATCATGTCCTCTTACACCACCAGCAACAGTCATAAGACTAGAACTCCATGAGGCACATTCTCCGGGCTCAACCCCAATAAGCTAAAATGCCAGTAGCTGATATTTATTGTGTAGTTACTAAGCTTTAGTTGCTAAAATACTTTACATACATTGTCTTACTTAATCCACACACCAATCCTATGAGGTATTTTATAAAATCACCTATTTTATAGTGAAGGGAACTGAAGTCCAAGGAGGTTTAGTAACTTGCCAAAGATCATGCCTCTATTAAGTGATGAGGTCAGGATTTGAATCCAATGTGTTAGGCTCCAGAAATAATGCTCTTTGTCCCTATACTATACATTTTTCTAGCCCAGCAAAATGTAGAAACACCAGAAAATAACATACAATGTCATCAGCAGTTGTTGGGAGTTTTTGAGGTCATTTTTGCTTTCTTAAAACTTTTTGCAGAATATCAACAGAATATCAGACTTTGTCTTCCACCCATCCCAAGGCAAGAAAATCACAAACACAACTCTAAGATCTAGACAGCTCTGTTCATCAACTTGGTAAATTTCAGGGATGTTATTTAAGGCAAAAGGCATTGGTAGACACTGAAACTGTTTAGAAATGTTGGAATGTATTTTGCGTTTTGGTTTTTTTTTAGTTTTGTTGCTTATTTATTTTCATTTATGATCTTTCTACACCCAAACTGCAGCTCAATCTCATTAAGGATCAGGATCTGTGAACTCGGCCCAAGAGTTCAGAGAACACTAAAAATGAGAAGTAGGGGCCTCTGATGGAAAATTGGAAGGTCTCGTGAGCTATTGTCATAAGTTGCTGTTGATTCACGTGTTAATACACCAAAAGCAATATACCGCGATGCACTGAAGAAAACATATGTTTGAGAGAGGTGGCCTTGGGAACATAAGCTCTGGCATGCAATTGCACTCCAAATGCATGGACAATTCTCATGCCCATACTTTGACCTAAGGAACCTGCTCACAGTGTGGGAAAGCCATGCTCTGGCCCCTTGCTCATGAAACAACTAGATTTGAGAGTCTTAAGGGATTTTAGTAACTAAAACTAATTTACCGAACTAAAACAAAACAAACAAGATGGCCTCTCAGGGTTTCTCAAAACAGGGCCTGAGGTATTAGGTAATTCTTCCCCAGGTACTGGGGACTCATTGAAGAGCTGCCAGGGGGTACCTGCGTGGCTCAGTCAGTTAAGCCTCTATCTTCAGCCCAGGTCATGATTCTGGGGTCCTAGGATTGAGCCTCATGTTGTCGTAGGGCTCCCTGTTCAGCAGGGAGCCTGCTTCTCCCTCTCCCTCTGCCCCTCGCCCTGCTCGTACTTTCTTTTTCTCTTTCTCAAATAAATAAATAAAATCTTTAAAAAAAAAAAAAAAAGAGTTGGCAGATTAGGTATTCCCCCTCTATTTAGAAGACCAGATCCTCTCCAAAATAGCCAAAACTTCCCAGCATTGTGCCTCTAGCAACAGATGAGAGACTCCTTTCCTCAGCAAATCACCCACTACCCAGACTCATGTCCCCACTCTCACCCCTAACTTTGATTAATGGCAGTCCACATGTGACTGATGTCATATAACAGAGTCCGATATTTTCCAGGAGCCACCTCCAAACTTCTCTGAAAGAAGAAACAGGAGCAGCTGGGGATACCACACATACGAATCTGATTTCCTTTACTCTCAGCGAAGGGAACTGTGCACTCAGCCAATTGGACTACCACAACACGCTCCCACTCTCTGTTTCCATCCACACTCCAGTGAAGTGACTAACAGTCCTAACTTCAGCCTGTTCATTGCACCGTATCTGAATCTGTTAGGTTAGGGTAGGATTTAATGGAGCCACAGTGGGAACAGAAGGGAGGGATTCTTCAGAAGTTAGCCAAAGACACCAAGAACCAAAAGGCAGCTAAGCCAAAATCTCCAGTAAGATGTTACATTCAATTAAAAGAGAGAATTGAATGTTACATTCAGTTAAAAGAGAGAAAACCCCCCACACCTAAACTAGAAGGCAGAATCAGGAAGTCAGATTAAGAACTAAAGAACCAGAAGGTCAGAGCCAAGCAGAGAAGTCGTCCAAGTGACAGAAAGTAGGAGCAAGTGCTCAAGAGTGGGTGACAATGAATTCAAGAGTGGGGATCTGGGTTAACAAAGCAGGTGCCAATCAAGACAGCATGGATTTCCATAGTTACACTTCCCTGTGCTGGAAAGCAGCACAGATTTTTACTAATTACAAAAGGACCCTTTTCAGAATCCCTATATTGTAGTGAATTATGAATGAATATTAAACAATTATTCTAAGTTTCAACAGATACCTTTCTGAAAGGGAATTTTATGTCAGAATTAGGAATTTTCCTTTTTTTATTATGTTCAATTAGCCAACATATAGCACATTAGTCTTTGATGCCACAGCTTCAGGAAGCAAGTATTAATTTGAAAACAAACAGTGCAGACCAAAAGACATTTATTCCTGTAACTTTAGAAATGAATACATAAATCCCAGAACAATCCCCAAATTAATTTCTGGTTACATATGACCAAATGCCAAGTAGTATGGGGATCCTTAATGCTATGTCAAAATATCACTCATTCCACAAAATAATAATAATAGCAATAATAGTTATTGTTTACTCCACCTGGGACTCTAAGCACTTTTCATCTGGTAACTCACTCGCTCCTTCCAGCAACCCTATCAACAACATATTATTACTATTCCCACTTTACAAATGAAGAAGGTGAAATAGAGAGAAGAGAAAAAACTTCCCCAAAGTCACCCAGTTCACAGGGGCCGGGGCTAGAACCCAGGTATCTGCCTTCAAGGCCCAGATTCATAGCCACAACGCTCTACACCTGACAGCCCATTAAGGACAGAAAGCTGGATTCAGATTTGCCAAAGGACCTAACTGTATACATTCATGAGTCTGAGAATTCTTCATGATCGTAAGTAATAACATTCTCACTGACTTGTGACACTGTTCAGTGTGATAGGATATAAATCAATGCCTGTGTAACTGTATTAAAAGAAAATATATTGAACTTATAAAAACTGCTTATATTATTCTTTCATAAAACTCTCAAGTTTTCAAAGCTCATATGCATCTTGGTTAGTTTAAAAAACAAAAAACTGCTTGGACTTTTGCCCGATCTAAAAAATAAAAAATTACTTGGCAATTTACTTCAGCCAAACGATAAAGGAATGCCAGGACTACTGAAGTAAAATGACCACCACCAGACTGGACTGGAGCCTAATAGCCAAGGGTCTTGATTCTCATTCCCCTGCTTTTGTCCTCATACGGTGGATGTGTGGAAACTCATCTCCTGTGTGAATTGCTCTGGCTACACAATTCACTGATAGTCAGATACCAGCTTCATGGAGCGAGGGCTCTATAGAGTATGCTGAGGCACGTTGCCTCCTGAATCCCTAGTACCCTGTGAAGTCAGTGTCACCATCCGCATTTTAAAATGAGGGGAGAGGGGCACCTAGGTGGCTCAGATGTTAAGCGTCTGCCTTCGGCTCAGGTCATGGTCCCAGGGTCCTGGGATAGAGCCCCGCATCGGGCTCCCTGCTCCGCGGGAAGCCTGCTTCTCCCTCTCCCACTCCCCCTGCTTGTGTTCCCTCTCTCGCTGTGTCTTTCTCTGTCAAATAAATAAATAAAATCTTAAAAAAAAAAAATGCAACCTTTAAAAAAATAAAATAAAATAAAATAAAATAAAATAAAATAAAATGAGGGAAGAGAGGATCAGAGAGAAAATGAAAGTAACTCACCAAAGGCCAAAAGTCTTGGAAATGGACAGAACCAGAATTCAAACCCAAGTCTGTGGAACTGCAAAGCTTTTGCTCTTTCCCTCGGGCCCATTACACTGTTTTATTTACATCAGCTCATCACTGTCCCTACAAACTTGAAGTTAAAGCTAGGAATCAGCTCATTACATTGATAGCTATTAAAATACAACTTCACGTCTATACAGTGAGAGTGTTCTTACTATATTGACATTTTCCAGAGACTGTTTCACTCTCTCCAAAACCACCATACAAAGAGAAGCCATGAGACGTGTCCCCAGTGGGCCAAGGCAATGCAGTCGTGTCTCCCTCCTCCTGATGTCACAGAATGGGTGCCACGGAAGGGTCAGGAAAAGCCCTTAGCCTTGAGCCAGACCAAAGGACTCCCAGGCTCCCACCTGTGCCCTCGGTCACTCTATGGGGCAAAAGGTCCCTTGAATCCAGGCTTCCGATGGCCAGGCTCACACCACAGCATCTCCACAAATGTCTGCTTCAGCTTGTTGTTTCCCAGAATGAGAATGAATGAGTGGCTAGCAGGATAAAACACTGTAACTACTTTTCCGATTATATTAACCATCTCAGATCCTGGTATGAAATAAGTGAATGATGTAATCAAAAAGGCCAGAAAGTAAAGCAGGAAGAGAAAGAAGAAAGAGATGATGATTTTGATGGCTCTCTGGTGGGCCTCAGTGCTTGGATCTCTGGAGCTGACGCCACCTTGCTGCAGCTGCTGCATGTGTCTCCCCAGAGAAAGGATGAGCAGAAAGTAGGTGGCCAGAGACACAATTAGAGGAGGGAGGTTCCACAGAGTCACAGAACATGGATCACTTTGTATTCATTTCTCTTCTTTCTAAAGTGCTCGGTCACATTCCCTGTGCCTTCGATCCCACTGAGAACAGAATAGATCTTAAGTTCCTGGATCAGAGATATGGCACGGACACACGATAAGAACAGGGCACCCAAAATCATGTGTACGACCACCCTGGAAACTCTCCACTTGAGCCAGAGGCATGTAGGATGGGAGACACTGGCAATTTTCAGGCAGTAGAGGACACTGAGACAGGTGGCAAGCCAAATGCTCAGGTGCTTTGTAGATGTCCAGAAAATAACAATAATCTGCATCACTATCCCGTCATCATGTATTTTGGACGAGAACACCATTAAAACACCATCAACCAAGAGAATCCACAGCAGAACGATCCTAGAGAGAGCCAGGTTAGTGACGATGAAGTCAGACAAAGAGACCGTCTTGTTCTTGAACCAGCTGCTGCCACTGCCCAGTACTATGAAACAATTCCCCAGCATCCCCAGAATGAACTCAGTGGCAAACAGAACCAGGAACATCCATTTCTCCAGCCCTGACATATCAGCTACCAGGTAGACCTGACCTTGTTCTTTCTGTTGATGGACAATCTCCTTGCTGACTTGAAATTTCTCTCTGTGAATCTGTCACTTCTACCTGTTGCTTCGCTGTACCTGTCTCTTATCTCTGCCCAATTTAGTCTGTTGTAGAGCACAGTTTAGTGAACCCTCTCTGGATCTTTCCGATTAGTCTGTCCTCTTCACAGATGGCATGGACTGTCACATTCCGTTTATGATCTAAACTCAGTAGCTCTTTGCCAAAATGCAAATGGAGTAGTATTCAATGTCACACAAAGAAGGAAGAGATCTGACTCACAAAGAAGGTGAGGATTTGCACCCAATTCCAAAGGGAGGGGGGTTCCGAGCCACCCAGGACAGAAAGGTGCATGACCAGAAGAGTCATACAGAATCACTCTGAAGAGTAAGAAGTCTTCTTCCTGGGAGGAGAATCAGGGACACACACAGAAAGGGGGAGATCAGAATTCCACCAGAAGGCACTATCAAAGTCACTCTGGAGGGAGGTTTAAGTGCATGAAACAGAGAAAGTTCAATGCCACTGGTGCTGGGTTAGAATTAAAAGGTGTGCCTCTTAGAGTATGCCTTACATGAGGGGGCTCCATGTTCTACCCTAGTGAGCCATATCATGAGAAATTCTTAACTATTTGAGTATTTAAATGATAACAATAATGAATTATAGCCTATAAGCTCTTGTAGATTTTCAGAGTGCATGACCAGTGTATCAATACGTCAACAGTAGTTCAGGCTGATAGAAATCATACACAGACAATCTCTTCAACCAAAGAAGCCTTATTTATGTAAAACAGTGCCTTACAAATTTTGACCATGGCCAACAGTAATACTTTTTATATGGTTTTATATATATCACCTACATATACATATGATGCTGGGAACACAAAGCATTCACAAAACAATTATTTCCCTTTTCTAGATGTGTGGCAGTCTGATATTTTCTATCCTGTTCTATTTCTTCCAATGCTGCTTGTATATTACAAACTTCATTTTACAACTTACGAATGAGTTGTGATAAATACTGTTTGAAAACACTGATCTGAAGGATGGAGAGAGAAATCAATGCCATCAAGATACAAAGCAGAGAGTTTAGCAACACTATCCAAATAATGGAGGGATATATTTTCAGGTCCCCTCAAAAGGACCTCACACAGTAGCGGATGACAAATCTCCACAAACAATACATAGTCTCTGCTGGATACACGCCAAGAAGCCAGGTGAACCTCATCAGTCTTGGCATTATGTGGTATACAATATGATTACAGAGCACTACCAAGAATACTTGGACATAAACACAGTCCTCCTTAATAATCACCCTCAGCTTTCTCGGGCTAACTTTACAACCTGGCCAAATGCTCCTGAACTCTGTGCTACAGAATTAGAATAAGGCAGTTCCCAACTGTCTCTGGCATTCTTTTAACAGGACCTTAGCCCAGGTGTAGGGCTGATCCCACAACCTACCACCGCCGCTGTTCAGTTTTTTTCTCACGGCCTTGGTTCTATAGATGTACATTTTTGTTCTTATGATACCTTTTACACCCCCTCATAAGAAGAAATACACTAAAAAGATTCCTCTACCCAAGTATAGAATTATCCAGTGAGAAGAAACTTTAGAATACATAACATATGAGAATTCATTTCATGTACCACTTATTTCTGATCATACAGTTTTACAAGTCCTATTATTTTTACCCCTTCCAAAATTAGAATGTTTACCTTTTTATAAGTCATTACTGAGCAATTTAGGGCTAACAATAATTTTTCTTTCTCAGTTTTTATTCTTTCCCAGGACAGTGTTTCCATGCATACCACATTAGCTGGTGACCAGAGTTCAATTTCAGAGTTTAAAAGACATCGTTGGAACAAAAAGAAAAGACAAGACATTGTTGGATATCAGCATTATCACTGCTATTACACTGATATGAATTATGAGCCCATAGTTATACCATTCCCCCTTCTTAATAAACACTACAACTATCATAGTATGACTAATCTCATAGCATTAGTAATGGCTGCTTCCAAAATGTACATTCACCATCCTCCACTGAAACAGCCACATATATTCAAGTCCAACTCTACAAAATGTGCATCTTTAAACATGGTTTGTTAGGGATCAATGCCAGAGCCATGGTACCTGATCCTTGGATCTTTCATCCCAGGCTGCAGACATCTAGAAAGACTACTGCTCTCAACCATTCTTCTGAGTAAAAGAACAAAGGAAGTGTATCAGTCAGGGCGTCCACAGGAAGCAACTGGCACAAACTGGGTAATTCCAGAAGGGTGTTAAAGCGGAATTATTTACAAAAGTGTGGACAGAGGATGGGGAAACCATAAACAGCTAGCGCAGTGCCCCAGGGCTCAGAACAGTGGGGCACCACATCACTATACCACTCTGAGAAACAGAGGGCTATGTGGAGGGGACCTCCTGACAGTCGCTGAGATTTTTCAGTTGGGAGACCCCAAAGAGAGTGCGCTGAGAGAATAAACCTCAAAACACAGGCCAACAGACCAACAAGACACTGCACTATCATCTTCCTCCCCTTCATTATTCTGGCACTTTCTCCACAGGCATCACATTCCAGGTCTTGGCATCATTCCTGCTCTAATACTAGCATGATAACTGTGTTGAAAAGTATCAGCCGGACACTCAGACTGACAGCAAGACAAGTCACAAATAATATCCCTTTCTATCAGCTGAGGTTCACTGATCTGCAGAATACAGAAGGAAATCAGCATGGCCGGATATATACAGCAGAGAGATTGACCTACAATGATAAGTGGAGTGCAGGCTTCTGGGTCCCTTAAAATCCTCACCTGGAGAGTGCACAATGGCAAGTTGTAAGTCTGAGTAAGTAGGCATTTCATCAGAGTCCTGAAGGCCCACCCTCAAGCCATATATGCATGTATACATTCTCTATGGCTAATTTGGATGTGTGCATCTTACCAACCTTAGTCTTACACCACATACAACCCCACTACAGAACACCATAGCATATGGCCCACTCCAAATGAATATAGGCCTCATTTATCACCTTCAGTTCCATCCCCCAAACTGATAAAACTGTTTTACAAAAAGAGAACAAGAGTCTATTATCCAGATGCTTTCAATACCAAGCTACCATGCTAACACACCAGCTTCAGGCCCTATCCTGTCATAATGTTACCCAAAAATGTTCATCCAGTCTTTTCCTACCAAACACTGGGGACAGAGACATTCCTCCAGGATTTCTCTATCCTGGACACACCTTGCTGAGTGTGCTAAGTATCCAAGGTCCTGACCACCCTTGACCAGGGCCATTTCGTGACGCGAGCAACCAGAAAGGAGGAGGTAATGTGCCCCTCCAGGACAAGAAGCAGGCTTGTTTACTGCTAGCTATAAAAGCTGCATGTTCTCCAGGCTCAGTGTATCTCTCCATGATGAAATCCATCTGGGCCCTGTGCATTGCCCCTAGGGACTCTCGGGACAAAGGGAACTGATGCAAACATGCTGGTGTTCATGCTGCTTGCTGTGCGGCCAAGAATATGATCACTTTTCTCTGATCCAGAGGTTTCATGTCTTCTGCCAGCTTCCACGAAACAGTAACAGGCTAACTCACTAGCTTGTCAACAGGGTAAAATCAAATCCCAAATCCACCGCCAACCTCAATTTGATCACCACGGCTCTCAATAGCCTATTCTAGTTATTATTTTCTCCCTCAAACCCATAACCCCCGCCTATACTCTGCTCTATACTGTGGGGTCTGGAATTCTATAAACCATTTCCCAGACACCCTCTCCAGATGCTTTGCTGTTGGTAGCTGCCAATATGAAAACTGGCAGATGAGCAGGAAGGAGAAAGAAAAATCCTGCTTCTCACTCCAACAGGGTGTCACTTGGTGGCAGTTCCTTTCTAGGGAAAGATTGATGATTGCAGACTCCGGGAACCTGGATAAAACCATCTATACTGTGTTCCCACCCTGGCCAGGTAAAGCCTCTTTAGCACACCAGAAACACCTGAAATCACTTCCCTAGTAATCCAGCAACAGGTGCACACTCAGAGGCTCCAGCCCAGGGATGTTATCAGCTTCTGTTCTCTGGGTATAACCCATTCCTTTTTTGCTCTGGCAGTACCCTTCTCTCTCTTCCCACACTTTTGTAAACAATCCCTTCCATTAAATTCCCTCTGTCTGAAATAGCTATTCTGGATCCCGCTTTCCTGACTGGACTCTGAACGACACACAGTCCTTCCACCTACTTTTGGTTTGAAGTTTTAGTTATTTCCTAATTTCAAAAAAGATATAAGACACATCTCTGTTTCACATTCTCCTTGGGGTTCTGGGGTTATTTTCAAGAGGAAAAAGAAACTCATTTAACTTATAATGCCATTTTCATATTGCAACTCCTGCCAGTAAGTTTTTTTTTTTTAATTTTTATTTATTTATTTGACAGAGAGAGACACAGCGAAAGAGGGAACACAAGCAGGGGGAGAGGGAGAGGGAGAAGCAGACTCCCAGCTGAGCAGGGAGCCCGATGTGGGGCTCGATCCCAGAACCCTGGGATCATGACCCGAGCCGAAGGCAGACGCTTAATGACTGAGCCACCTAGGTGCCCCCAGTAAGTTTTTAATACATATTATTTTCATTATTTTAAATCATCCTATGTTGGTAAGTCCAAAATGCACACCTTCATGCCATACCACTCTTCTGAGCTCTATACTCCCATATCCACCTACCTACCTAACTTCTTTACTTGGCTCTATCACGGACATCCCAAATTTAACATGTCCAAAATAAAACTCTCAATTTATTCTCATTTTAAAAGAACTCTCTCTTACCCCCAATCTTCCCTATTTCAGCAAATGGCAACATCATCCATCCAGTTGCTCAAATCAAGCACCACCTAAGAATTAACTTGATTCTTTCCTATAACCCCACATCAACTTATCAATGACTTCTCCATTTTAATCACAAAACATATCCTGAACTTTCCATTTTCACTGCCTTCATCCTGGTCCAAGTTACCATGATCTCTCATCTGAACTACTCAGTGGCCCCCTAACTCATTCTCTACTTCTAATATTTTTTTTTCTGTAACAGATTCTCCATATAGCCACAAGAATGACCTTAAAATGTATATTAGATCATATCACTCCAGTACTTAAAACACTTCAATGGCCTTGAAGTGCAACTACAAAATGTAAACTCCTTATACTATATGCTAAGAATCTCTTCTGCATGTCCTCTTGCATGCACCAGGATTCAAGATAAATTTTATATCACATGATCTAAGAACAGGCTTTATTGGAGTAAGAGAAAACTCATATCAACAACAGAAATAAAAGCATGGCTCCCCTTCATCCTCCTTCATCCACACACAGGTTAACCAGAGCACTGTTCGGTGAGCAATGAGTATGCCAATGGAAGTGCCTCACCCTCCCTAGTGCTCTCACTTGTGAAAGCAACTTCGTCAGTACTGAAACAGTCTTAGGTGCCAGAAAATCTGAATTATTATAGGAGTTATCTGAGAAGACCAGATGACCAATACCTGGGGACCTTGGAACCCACAGGATGTTATATAGTTCACACTGGTATTAGAGTCAACAGTTCTGTGGTAACTGAGCTTATGTAAGCACTTACTGGTGGGAGAAGTGAAAGAAACCCTCTTTTCCCAGCTAGTTTATTCTCCGGACAACCTAGTTTGAACTGGGGTTATTTTCAGACAACTTTTCTCATTGCAATATAAATTTCCTACTAAAAGAATGATCAGGGGCACCTGGGTGGCTCAGTCAGTTAAGTGTCTGCCTTCGGCTCAGGTCATGATCCCAGGGTCCTGGGATCAAGCCCCACATCAGGCTCCCTGCTCAGCCTGTCATACCAAGTAATTATTAATAGTGCCCCTTTTCGGCGTTTTACTCACTAAACATTCAGGCCCTAGGCTCAGACCTTAGCACGTAACAGAACCTCAATAAATACATACTGAATAAACAAATTTCCTTTTTTAAAAAACATTTATTTGAGAGAATACGCACATGGGGGGGGGAAGGGCAGAGGGAGAGAGCATCTCAAGCAGACTCCCAGCTGAGCGTGGAGCCCAAGACAAGGTGGGGCTCCATCTCACAACCCAGAGATCAAGACCTGAGCCAAAATCAAGAGACACTTAGTGGACTGAGCTACCCTGATGCCCCGAATAAACAAATTTTCTAAAGGAAGCTTGATTTTTGTTTTTAGCTCAAGTTTCAGATTCATTTTTTAACTGATACTGACTCAATATTATGTTTCTAAGAATTATTGTTTCTGGAATAGTTGTAATCCATTTACACATCTGTATGCCACTGTGTGAACATTTATTTACCCATTCTCTGTTGATGAACCTTTGGGTAGTTTCCTTTGGGTTCTTGGTTGTACTATTATTACATCATTGCTAAGAACACTCTTCGACCTGTTTCTTAGGCCATATGGGCAAGAGTTTCCTATTGGCTGTACCTTAAAGATGGAATAACTAGATGAAATTTCAACATCACTGGTTAATGCCAAAA